GTTCTGAGGAGGCATCGGGCACAAGCCTTAAAGGGCCATACATAGATGCTTACTATTAACTGCACGACGCTGATGAATATGTTGAGAGGGGAATATGAGCACCTACGGATGTGTCCAGAGTGCTGCGAAGATAATCTAACTCATAACTCATAGATGCTTATATTTACAGCCTCAGATATTCCACCTGTCCATCACTTGCATGGTTGAAATCTACATCTGCTTTTATTGTGTCTGAGTGATACGGCTCTGGTTAGTTCCCTATCTGGTGGTAGTCTTGACACATGTCTGAACCATTTGACTGCTGATGTAGTTTACCCTTGGATTCATCCCAGCTTTTATCTTGAAATCATCATTTCTGATCCCATCTCTTCTGGTTACATTTAGGACTTGTATACATTTCTGCTGTTTTCCTTTTGTAGTAATCGCTCACTTCCTTAAACTGTGACAGGCCTAGCAAACCTGCAGCAGATGAATGCTTTACTATATCCCATCACTTAATTTGTTTTGAAAACATAATATAACTTACAGAAATTTTTTTTCTTTATTATTACTGTATTTTGTGTGTGGGGAAACATGGCATATAAAACTTACATAGTAAAAAAAAAAAAAAGGTCTTGCCTGAGTGTTATCAAACTAATAAAGGAAAGCAAAATATAGTAACAGCAAAATCATGCATGTCATAAGAGGCGACTAATAGGGGTTGGCATGATTAGCTACCTCTTCTTCTCTTGTCCTTTTCTGCTTTTCGGCATCAGATTTTGAAGAGGAGTCGGGTGCAAGCATTGGTATGTGCTATGTAGATGCTGCTATTTATGGATATTCCATCTATTAACTGCTTGTGTGGTTGACCTCAAGCTCTGATTCAATTATGTCTAAGTGACAGGGCTCTTGGCAGTACCCTATCTGGTGGTGGTCTTAACACATGTCCAAACCATTCCATCTCCTGTTTCTTGGTGCAGTTTAGTACTGGTTCTGGCCCAACTTCTTTCCTAATATTGTTATTTCTGATAGTGTCTCTTCTAGTTTCATTTCGGATTTACAACAGACACTTAATTTCTGTTATTTTTCTTTAGTCCTTTTGTTGTTGTTGTTAATGTCTACACCTGCACTAGCAACACCATGTTTAGCCCACAATGTTGTTAGCAAAGTCAATGATGCTAAAAGCAAGAACAAGCCAAGACAAACAGAGTCGACTATATAAAAATGTATACAGCATTAAGAGCTATACAAGACTTGGGTATATACAAAAACATAAAAATAAGTGTACACACAAAGCTATTCACACAATTATAAATACAAGAAACAAATGTAGGCAATTTTCCCATTACAATGTCCAATCTCATTCAATCATTCTTCTAAATTCAAAAGCAATTCAATTTTGAAACCAACAGGTTAAAAATATCAAAAAGTCAAGAAATTTTCCAAACAAATGTGGAACAATAAATACAAGAATAAAATAAAACAGGTAGTTCTGTTAGAGAGAATACATATTTCATTTGCAAATAAGCCACTCAAAGATAAAATATACCCATAGCTACAACCTCAGCCAATCAAATATACACACTATCTAGCAACTCAACCAATGAGTGGTCAGAAATTCAAGAAAGTGTGCATCTAAACCAATCATAATACAGGGTTTTCATAGTTAGCTTCTTATCAAATAAGATTTCTTCTTCTGCCGCTATACCCCAATGGAGCAAAGGCCCAATCTACTCAAAGTCCTCCTATCCACTGCTATCACAGGCAACTCACCCACGTCCTCCTTATCTTTTCCTCTCCATTCTCATAATCCCTTCTTCTTGTGTTTTTCTTTGGCCTGCCTTTATTCCTTTGACCTTGTGGGTGCCAATGCAGAGAAAACTACACTTAGTGCCCCCCCCCCCCTATAATCTCTTAACTATTATCCACTGCCAGCTCCAGATTTAAGACAGTACAGTTCAAACGGGAATTCCCATTCTTGTGAGACTGGCATTAAATATTTTCTAATAGCCAATTTATTTATCCTCAAAATAATAATTCATTCAATAACACATGTTGCATATTAATTAAACTGTAGTTCAATTTGTGTATAAATCTACTTGATAACAACTGTTAACATCGACCGGCCACGCCAGCCTCACAAAAAAGGGAATTCCCGTTTGAGCTGTATGGCCTTATATCTGGAGCTAGCCGTGCTATTATCTAAACCCCCTTGTCGAGAGAACTCCACCTTTGCCTCTAATTAAAAAAAAGTATACTCCTATCTATTTAAGCTAATTGTGTGTGTGTGTGTGTGTGGTGGGGGGGGGGGGATTGGTTAAACAAATGTAATAGCTGCACATCTTACACAGCGCTGTAAATAGTTTTTGACCGTGGTTTTACTATATTTTTTATTTTCCATATTTTGCATCAGAATCAGAGTATTTTGGAATTACAATCCATGTTCATTATACCCAAACCAGAGGTACATTCTTGATTACAAGTATTCTGTGTGGGTTTCGGGACCCCCATTGTAGGGGGTGGGGGAGGGGTTGAACAGACCCACTGCTTCCCACTAAGGATGTCCTATTGCAGACTTTCTTCGAAGTTGGAGTGCATCTGCTTGAGACGCAAGAAACCAACAACCTGCATACAGTAAAGTCAGATATGTAAAACAGATGTGCACCTAACACTCAGATTCTATAACAAAACTATTGTCCAGAGATTGAGAAATAACCTGAACTTTCTGCTGGAGTTACAGCTGGTGAACGCTAAGAAGAAGAAGAATTACCTTTGTATTAGCTAAACCAATTGTAGTGATAAGATATTCATAGCCATTGTGTGACACTGAAAATAAGACAGGGTCTTATGTTCATTTTTACTTGAAAAAATGCTCCGGGGTTTATTTTCAGGGGATGTTTTATTTGTATTTTCAGATACAAAATTCTTCATTTATTCATGCACAGAATTCCAAATTTATTCAGGCACAAAACTGTATATTTATTTATATATACAGTCATGTCATCTTCTTCTGGAACATCGCCATAACTCTTTACAAACCAACCTGAATTATAAACTACATCCGTTAATTATCAAGTACGTAGTACTTGTGTCTGTACTCCGACTGGCTGTTTCGTGAGATATTCTAGCTGAAGAACTCAACAAGTTCTTTTTCTGGGATAGGGCTTATATCAAAAGCATTCTAGGGTAGGTACTATTTTTAAGGAAACATGGCATCTTCTGTCTATTATCTCTCATTGGTATACAGGCCCTCAACCAAGCCTTAGTTTTCCTACACAATAAGATAAATTCCCAGCTGTTGTCGGCAAAACCAATCATTGAAGCCAAAGAAAGACAAAGACATCTTTGCTGCCTCAACTAATTGGAGATTAAATAATACCTCAGTAACTACCATTTCAGCCAATCGAAAAGAGCCCTAGATACAATCTCGGCCAATCAGATTTACCACTACCTAGCCTCTCAACTAACCAGAGGCAAGAAACATCCTAATTTCTTATCTTAAAGAGAAACTGATGTAACAATGCAGAAAGAAAAAAACCTAGAATATCTCTGACAATCAATAACAAACTACATTAGTAAATCAAAATCTCAGAAGCATGAAAGATAACATCCATAAATTGCCACAAATATGGCTGTGTTACTACATACTGGGTTCTACTTTATTAATTCATGCTACTAGAAAATATATATCCCTTTTAAAACATTCACTCCAAAGCTTCAATACTCTTTTAAAAGCCTGTAAACGGTTATATTTTTTTTTTTTGGCGGCTGGCACATTGTGTTGTGGTTTACAGTCAGGCTGTAATATCTGCACCTTTCAAGCTTACACACCCAATAATGAATTCTAAATGAGACGCCTAGTATGATATACTTGTTAGGGGCAACGGGCCTATTACTTTCTTTCCATCAAAATGAGGTCTCCCAACTCATAATAAGAGGAGTTAAGACATTATAGCATGAGGTGCCACAGACAACCACTGCCACCGGAGTGTTAATATACTAAGTCTCAAAACCTCAGGATGATAATGTGACCAACTCTGTTCCTCAACTTTCATTCTAAGACAATCAATCTCTAACATCTTCTTCATGATGCTTGGCCTCACTCCAGTGTTATGCTGGCAGACATATGTAATTAATTCTTTCAGCTATAATCCTTCTGTGTGTTAGGTTAGTTGCGTATCCTTTACAGGACGTTGCAGAACCAACCCCAACAGCCCCTGGCCGTTGTGTGGTTTTTCTAGGCAAATTTACCTCCAGTAGTTTGCCCCTGCTTTCTGGACGGTCAGCTTTCTTGATACCACTGTCAAAACCAACGCAAGGCGCATGGCCCGCAGCTGGCATCCCGGTATTATGAAGCGTTCTCATCGGCTTAGCCACAGACCTTCTGTGGAGGGTGGGGGGGGGGGGAGAGAGACACTGACTATAATCATTAAGGGCTACAGAGGTGGGTCCAGAACATGCAATAACAGAAAAGAAGACATTTGTGCAGAATCAACTCTTTGCAATTAGTTACCTATTAACCTTTTAGTCCCACAAACCCCGGGTGGGGGTCTTTAACAGGGATTTGTAACAAACAGCATGAATGACATATCGGCTTTGCAAGACAAAAGGGTTAATTAACAATCAACTGAAACCAATCATTAGCCATCTTCACAATGAGAGATGGCTGCATTAAATCTCCCAGGCTCTCTATCACCTGTGCTGGTTGATCACTGTCTCACTCAGACTGCCTGTTATCCATCTATTATTGTTATCCTCCCATTTGTACTGGTGTCCACCTCTTGCTTACCTGCCTTCAAAATTTCCCCCTCTAGTATCGATTTCATGAGTGATATTTTTATTATAGCCAATACATTTTACTTCTTTTTTACAATCAATTCCTTGTAAAGAATCACACTGGTATCAGCTGTGATAGAGAATCAAAACTGGCAAACAACCAAATGTGGGTATAGATTCTGCGACAAGAAATGATCTTCTAACAATCCTGGCACACAACCCAAAGTGGAATCTGCAGCAAGAGATCATCTCCTGGCACCTCCACGCCGGGTGGCTCGTCTGGCAGCGGCTCTTGGTCTGGGCACAGCTCCGGGTGTTTGAGGAGTGAATGGGTTTGGGGTGTTTGGAGTTGCACCTGGGGAAGACAAAACATGGTTGATTAGAAAGTGGACAACTGGAAAAAAAAAATATTCTTTTGAACAACATCATTCCCACATGTGCTCAAGTCTTCTTCAGCAGTCAGCAAAGTTAAATGGTGCTGTGGTAAGCTGATATATTCTTGTGAGTCAATGCACATTTGGTCATAGCTTTATGAAGCATGATAACAGCCCCTTTATCTTCATAAGCCTTACCCTAAAGAATTTCCAGAATCTGCTGTGAAACTACACACACAATACTACCATAAGGTTAACAGCCTCTCGCCAAAATACGGTACTCAAAATGGCTCACTGGATATAACATAGACATTTTACTGGGTTAAAAAAATAGATATGAGGAAGTGTGAAATGGCGGCATTAGCAGCAGCAATAGTAGAAGAAGAAGAAAAAGAAAACAGGATAAAAACAAAAAGAAAGTAAATATTTCTTTGACAGCCAAAGTCTTTAAGATGGTCATTCTCCAAAAGCTACAATAAACATGTTTTGGTAAACTGTTCTAATTTTTAAATCTCAGTCCTCATCCCAACAGGGCAACTGCCTTATCTTTCACATATGGCGGTGAGTCGATAAGTTTTAAATACATTACGCAAAAGGTTTACACATGTTTTGCCCTTGATGACTTAACATTCAATAACAGAAAACTGCACTTGACACAAACCTCAGCCACATGTCAATACAGTTTACCAAAATTATTTTGCAGAAATGTGTGAATGGAATACAGTTCGTATACAGTATAAAATCTGGTCATATCTTAACAATTCAGCAATTATTTTCATTTACTTTTTTTTCTTATTAGCTTTCACAGGCTGTTAGCTCCGTGACAAGTTTTTATTGTTAGTCACCTTCTGGACTTCAGACAAAAAACCTGGCCCCCAAGAACAAAGTGTGCAAAGCAAGTGAGGGGGAAACCATGAAGAACCTGCAGCTGACATGCGAGTTCACAGAGGCCACCCACCTGATGGTCTGACCTGAGCAAACAAAACTGAACGCAATAGTAGACAAATTCCCCTAAAATGGGGCCTTGGAACCCACATGGGATAATATACTTCAAATACTACAAGGAGTTTAGAAAAGATATACAAACAGAAATCAAAGACAGACTTGAAACTCACTGAAATTGAAAGCAGGTGGTGCCGGTCCTGTAGCAGTGGCAGCAAAGTTGAATCCAACTGGTGCAGGAGATTGAAGTGTGGGTCTGGTAGGTGTCTGAGCCCCAAAGTTGAATCCTGGATTACTGGCTGCAGTCTGGCTGTTGGGCTGATTGAAGTTAAACCCTGGGAACACAAGTACCGTTACTATAAACATCCCATACTCTACAAACTTAAAAAGTGGGCAAACCAGTACCGTTACCATAAACATACCATACTCTACAAACTTAACAAGTGGGCAATCCAGTACCGTTACTATAAACTTCCTATACTCTACAAACTTAACAAGTGGGGAATTCAGTACTGTTACTATAAACACCCTATACTCTACAAACTAAACAAGTAGGGAAACCAGTACCATTACTATAAATATCCCATACTCTACAAACTTAACAAGTGGCAAAACCAGTACCGTTACTATAAACATCCCATACTCCACAAACTCAATAAATGGGAAAACCATAATGTCATTATAAACAACACATATCCTACACCCTTAATAAGTGGGGACAACCAATGTGGTTACTTTAATCACTTCACACCCTACCGTTTTAACAACTGGGAACAGTCAACACTGAGACCATAAAATCTCATACTTTACATCCATAACAACTTGGGGAAACCAGTAAGTAAAAAAGTAAATGTCCCATTTCCACGCCTTTAGGCATATAGGGCCAAACCTATATTTTTATAGACCAATGGGCACAAGATGGGTGATGTGGTCAGCATCACGCCGGCCGCCTTTACTTTCCCGGACTGCGCCCAGGTCTCTAGCGTAGTTGGCTAAACCGGATTGCGCGGAGACCAGGCGATGAACTCCTTGTGGTCCGGGTTCACTCCCGGGGGTAGGCAGAAAAGCCACATTTCTCCCAGATTTACGGTATTTACAATGGAATCAAGGCCGAAAGGTTGCGATATCCATAATACCGAGCCTAAGGGTTAATAACTTATGACTTTTGGATACTAAAACAAACAAACAAACAAACACGCGCCTAGTACCCCATCAAGACTGGGTCGACCTGGGAGTCAATGTCGTTTATGAAAAAAGTCTGGCTCCGCCAGGGAGCGAACCCACAACCTTCGAAAAGCAGTACTATTAACATAAACATCCCATAGCATACAGCAGGGCTATTCAAAACCAGATCGCTGCCAGCTGTATTGTATCAATGATCTTTCTATGCTGGAGCTTAGGCCTCTGGCCCTTGACGATCCTCATTTGCCACATTTTGGCCCCTGAGTAAACTTAGCTGACTACCCTATACCTAGCAGCCGAAACAACTGAGGAAAACCAGCACTGTTATCATAAACATACCATACCTTACAGTCTCACTACTGGGGAAAATCAGAACTATTAACAAACACCCCATACCTTATAGCCTAAAGAAATGGGGAAAAACCACTACTGTTTTCATAAATATACCATACCTTACAGTCTTGACAACTGGGGAAAACCAGTACTATAACGACAAACCACTGCCCACTATTGCATTTTAAAAGGCCACGCAGGCCAATGGAAATTCCCGGATTTTTTTTTTTTTGGCAACTCCGAAGAGCTGATGTGTGTTCACTATGTTTATTGAGTAGATTTATTTATACACAAATTAAACATGTTTGTTTTTAATTAATTATAATTTTCAAGATAAATTAGTGTGCTACAGATGATTATTTTCATTATTATATTTTCTAATAGCACACTAATTTATCTTTAAAATGATTATTAATTAAAACAAACATGTTGCAAATTAATGAAACTATAGTTTAATTTGTATATAAATCTGCTCAATAAACACAGTCAACACATATCAGCCCTTCGGATTTGCACAAAAACTGGAATTTCCATTGACCTGGAAGGCCTTATAAAATGCTACACACCAAATCTTACAGCCTTTACAACTGGGAAAACCCATTACTATTACCATAAACATCCCATACCTTACAGCCTCAACAACTGGGGAAACCCAACACTGTCCCTATAAACATCTTACACCCTAAAGACCACTTAACCCCCCCCCCCCAACACACACATGTGGGTTGTTAAAGTGACTAGTAATGTGTGTTCCCTACAATGTCAGACTGCAACCGTCTAAAAGGTAAGGAAACACAAGCTTTAAAAAAAAGGGGTGTGCGTGCAAAAGTCTAGAACAAGAGCAAAGTCTAGAAGTTGACAAACAACAAGAATTTTATGTCTGAGATTACAGAAGGTAAATGTTAAGAAGAAGAGGAGCAGCAAACAAGACACAACACAGTTACTGCAAACATCCCATGGGGAAAAGACTTAACAACATTGTAACTGCAAACATCCTACAACCTACAGACCTAAAAACATTGTTACTGCAAATGATACAACCATTACTTCGTAACAGTAGGGCAGACCAGGCTCTTAGCTTTGGTTGGCAACTGATCTAGGAGGAAAGCCCCGACAGATTTTTTGAACATCTGATGGCTTCTGCAACATGCTCTGTTCCAAATGTACAGATGTTACTGTTCCACTAGACCTAACAAAGCAGACCAAGCGAGGGATCATGCTGCATCGGTAATATAGTCTCCACACTATAACTTGTGGTCTGATGCCAAATTGCCTGCATCTGAATCAAACCTAGTATGACCATATTATGAAACTGTTTTCCTAATTCCTAAGCCACAAACGCCACCATGACAACAATAAAAGAACTCACCTGAGTTTGCAGGCTGTGTGTTAAACATGTTGGACTGTGCTGGGGCGAAGTTGAAATTAGCCTGACTGGTAGTTGTGGCACCAAAGGGATTTGGTTTGGCAGCACCAAAGACAGTGACTCCCCCTGTGCTACCACCAAAGGGGCTTGAAGCAACAGTCGGACCAGAGCCTGGCTGAGAGCCAAAAGCTGGCGGAGGATTTTGTTGAGCCCCTCCAAATAAATTTTGAGCTGAATTTTGTGATGATGCTCCAAATACTGAGCTTTGAGGTGTGGCCCCAAAGGATGACACAGCCGAAGTGCCAAACCCTGATGAGGCAGCTCCAAATGTAGGTTTATCTGCACCTGATTGTGGTTGTGCTCCAAAAGCATTAGACATGCCAAAGGATGATCCAAAAGCTGATGACGATGCTGAGGCTGGACTTTGTACCGGAGCGCCAAACAACGTAGGAGGGTTCGCTGTGGCTGTATTGAAAGCCGGCACTGCTGCCTTAGCTCCGAACAGATTAGAGCTAGATGCAGCCATTCCACCAAAAGCCCCACTTGAACTAGACCCAAATGCTGGAGGTGGTTGTGACCCACTTCCAGACCCAAATGCTGGAGGTGGCTGTGACCCACTTCCAGACCCAAATGCTGGAGGTTGCTGTGACCCACTTCCAGACCCAAATGCTGGAGGTGGCTGTGACCCACTTCCAGACCCAAATGCTGGAGCTGGCAGCGATCCACTTGCAGACCCAAATGAGAATAAATGATTAGAAGATGATGCCGGGTTACCAAAGGTGGAAGCTGGCTGTCCTCCCTGTGGGGCTGATGCTCCAAACATAGAGGATGTTTGACTGTTTGCAGCACCAAACATAGGACTGCTGACAGCAGAGCCAAATGCTGGTGGAGCTGTAGTTGGCACCATGGATCCAAACATTGAGGCAGATGTGGCCGGAGCTAAAGATCCAAATGTTGGAGCAGATGCCCCTTGAACTGATGCTCCAAATGGTGAAGTGACAGAACTGGAGCCAAACGTAGTTGTGGTACCACTACCAAAAAGTGAGGTAGTGCCCGCTGAGGGAGTAGGCGAAACAATGTTTCCAAAAACAGCATTGGATGCTGTTGTTACTCCTCCAAAGCTAGTTGAGGATTGTGTAGATGGAGCTCCAAAAGCAAAGGGCTTGGAAAAGGCACCACTTGTAGAACTGGGCCCATAGGCAAAACTGCTTGTACTTGCTGCAGCAGTTGGTGCTGATGTCTGTCCAAAATTGAAGATGCCCATGTTGGTGGCGGCGGCTGTGTTAGCAGGAGCTGCACCAAACATGGACAACCCTTGAGCTGCTGTAGAAGCACCAAAAGGTTGTTGGGAAGTCAGAGAAGCCTGTGATCCACTACCAAATGCAGATGCACCTCCAGAACCAAACATCTGTGATGCTGGAGCTGCTGATGCTGCAGACGCGAATAAACCTTGTTGTTGGAGTCCACCGCTGGAGAATGCAGAAGTGGTAGCATTATTCTGAGTGTTCAAGCCAAATCCTGAGAAACTTGGCTGGCCAGTAAAACCTTGAGATGTTAAACCAGAGGCAGCAGGCTGTGAACTTGCAGGTGCTGCTCCAAAAGAGAGCCCACTGGGTTGTTGTGATGCTGTAGTAGTTGCTGAGCCTCCAAAATTGAACCCAAAACTGGAAGCTGCAGTCCCACCTGTTGCTGATGGTGCAAATGAGGAGCTCATCACTGTAGCAGTGCCTTGTGGTTTGGTGCCAACTCCAGAGCTACCCAAACCGAATCCAGCAGCAGGTGGTGCTGTTGTGTTGGATGCTCCGAAGCTAAACATACCAGAGGTGCTGGTAGATGGTGCTGCAGATGCTGAGGTGGAAAATGAAGAGGCAGCGGATAACGGAGTAGCATTCGGTGCAAAACCTTGTCCCAGTGTGCCATTTGTTTGTTTGGTGAAAGGACTGTCATTGTTTGGCTGAGATGCTGCAAAAGCCTGCAGTGTTGAAGATAAAGAGAAAGGTGCTGATGATGATGCTGGCTGGGCAATTCCTGAACCGAAGATGCCACCTGAAGACATAGATACCTGAGTATTACCTGTCGCTGTCTGTGTAGATGGAGCCTTAAATGAAAGGTCAGGATTTTGTAGACTGCCGTTCACCTGGCTCGCACCTGAAGCTGAGGAGAGCGGTATAGTCTGAGACATACCTGAGAAGACCGGTGCGCTGGTAGCTGGCCCCCCAGCAGCAAAACTTGTCGCTGATGCAGGAACAGAGCCAAAGCTGAATCCAGAGTTTGTCGAAGGCTGACTGCCCAGTGTCGACCCAAAGATGCCAGTGTTTGTTTGTGAGCCCGGTGTTGACCCAAAGCCAGTTCCCGACTGTGAACCTGAAGTTGATCCGAAGAAAGCATTTGTTTGCAAATCGGAAGTTGATAGAAAGCCAGTGTTTGGCTGTGAGCTTGAACCAACGCCAGTGCTTGGTTGGGAGCTTGATCCAGCGGATGTCTGAGAGCCTGAAGTTAATCCAAAACCAGCATTTGGTTGGGAGGTGGAAGTTGATCCCAAGCCAAAACTGAAACCACCATTGCTGGCCGGCTGTCCACTTTTTATGGAAACTGCAGACGGTGTAGAAGCTTCAGAACTAGCTGCAGTGCTTGCTGCCCCCAAGGAGACAGAAGCTGGTGGGAAATTGATCTGAAATCCACTAGTTGTGGCAGCAGCTGTACTCTGAGTGGATTGCACTGAAGATTCAGCTGAGGCTGAAGTGGAAGCACCAAACTTAAATCCACCCGTGGATGAGGATGTAGTTATTGATGACAACTCTGTGCTGGTAGTTTGGGGTGTCTGTGAGGAAGTGATGAAGTCAAATGAAACTTCTTTGTTTGCTGCTGAAGATGTCAGGGAGTTTCCTGAAACAGTAAAAGGAAATCAATTATACTCAGCTACAAAGCAGAAAGTGGTGGGGAAGGTGGTGGTTCCCTCTAGGACTGCTGCCCGTAGGATGAGAACCGAACAGAAGCAAATACCAGAAACCTTGTTCAACTGTTTAACGGTTATACTCAGGCACCCCTATAATTAGAGCAACCTGCAGACCAATGTGGGGTATGGGGGATGTCATGGGGTAGGGTGGTGTTTAAGTAGTCACAGATGCTAGATTAGCAGCACAATAAAGTATTCCAACTTTACAAACACTATATTCATCACATTCATACTTCAGAAATATTACATTTACATCATTTAAAAACTTCACATATACTATTTTCACAGCATGTAACCTTCACATGAACTATATCCGCTACATCTAAACGTCATGTATATTACAATCCCAGCATGCAAACTTCACACACATAAAATTCATGGTTTAATAAAGCAAACACACTTTACATATACTACAATCACAGCAAAATAAAAAACATTTGATTTTCTCATAAAACAGACTTGTAGAATAATGAAGATTGTTTAACCTGTTCCTCCTGTGTATAACATAGGTAATTAACTGTCAAACCTTAACATATTAAAGAATCACAGCATTAGGAAGTGGTAAACCTTCACATAAACCTACATTCACAATATCTGAAGTGTTCTACTTCTGTCTGTCTCCAAATGCAGCACCGGAACCCAAACAAGGACAATTTATTAGCGAGATAACTGTAATAATGTTGCTCTCTTGAGGACGCTTTAGTCCAATCCCAGTACTTATTGGTCAGTGACAACAAACAAGTGTTCAATAATGAAATGATGGGATTACTGATGAGGCTAACTCATGCTGAACATCTTAGATCAGATGAAGTAGTCAAGCCATTTGCCTCGCACTCTGAAGGTCATGGATTCATTTCACAGCGGCACCATTCAGTTCACAAGTGCAGTCTTTGAGAAGATCCCTGGGGATCGTCGCCGGAGCTAAAGAGGTCATGCTCTGCGCAATGCTAGCTTTTCTGCGGAGAGAGACTGAGCTATATGGGATAAAACCAGGTACAATAAAGTCGATCCTCCCACTTTTACTTTTAATTATTGGTCGTTCCCTTTATAAATTATTCAATCCACACAAAAGGAAAGAAGAACTAGTCAGCCTAACATGAAATCAATAACAAGTGACAAGATTAGATGTTACAGCCCTAGAGCCTTCATCAGTAAACACTGCTGTACTTACCACTTGAAGGTTGTAATCCCTGTGCCAGGCTGTTGGCTGACGATGTCATAATAGCAGCAGATGCAGCTGTTGACAATGACAGCCCTGAGCCTGCTGTCGCCGACTGCACCAGCTTGTTTAAACTGTCCAGGCTAGCACTGACAGCCGCCGCTGTTGCAGCTGATGATGCCGCTGCTGTGACAATAGGCGACCCCAGCGAAGTGGTAGTACCTTGCAATAAAGAGGTTGTAGGCACAGCAATGATGGACAGGGAAGAGGCTGAACTCATGGCTGGAAAACAGACAGAAAATATACTAGATTCTTTAATCACATTGTGAGAAGGAGAAAACAAGAGTACTGTTGTGTGCAATATATGGATGTATGAAAGGATCGTGTCCCTTGGTAATTTAATCCATGTATTACAACACTGATGTCCCTTGAAGTCTGGATTCATGCTTAAGAGAGTAAGGCGTAAATTGAACGTCAGAATCATCTGCTGAGTTAACAGGGTCAAGAACTTGTATAGCTGTGCAAAAGGAGGAAAACTGGATCAGGGACTCGGATGTGACTATGTTCTAGTCTGAGTGACGCCTGACTAGACGAGTGTGCCTACGTTTCATGCTGGTAGGGAAATCTAGTATTCATTTTTTCTGTGGAAGTTGACGCAGCAGCAATGGTCCAGTGTGATGTGTTCGTGAGGTGAGATTCCGGAGATCTCAAGGTAACGTGACAGGCCGCAGACGATAGGTCTCCAAGGGTTTCACAAGTTATTGTGCAAGGCCTGAGGGTCTCTATGGGCAGAGAGACAATCACACTTAAAACAAACAGGTGCCTTTGCACGATCGGGTATTGACTGCCCGTAGCAACCACGGAACATAAGGGTGACGGGGAAGGTCCCTCGGAATGTCTTTAATTTCAGGAAGCAGCAGTATAAAGTGTATTTGTATCTCATGATGCACTCTTGTTTCATGATGTCTTAATACAGTGTAAACTTTGACAGTAAACCTGTTTTCGGATCCTCGTTACTGTTGAGCGTGAGTTGTGGTCTGTAAGATTGACCTTACTAAACACCCCCTAGATATTCGGCAAGTGTGCAGTGCATCAACATAGCACTCCGCACGCGTCAAGTACATCACAATGATGGGAGAATTAGCTGGAAGAAGAAGAGGAGGATACTGGACATCATGGCACGGAAGATCATCTATCCCAAAAATTACTGAAAGTATGTAAGACAGGAGACAGCAGATAGACAAGACCACCAACACCATACGACATGGACTATAGGAAACAAACATGATTAAACTCTTCAGCCATCTGTAGCGGCTCACATATTGAGTTACAACATCATGCCTACATTTTCCAGATTTCCCCATTTGACGCCTGATCAACCTGGAAACAAATGTCATTTCAAAGCTAGGCGTGTGATCATGCAGGAGGACCAAGGAACTCCAGCTGAAGACTGAGGACTACAGTAAAACAAGATTTGAAAGTTATCAGGTGTCCACTAAAACCTCCAGACACATTATCAAACTTATTTACAACTACCGCTTACCTGGCCGGCTGACAGATTCATCCTCATTAAGTAGGTCAAGCACGCGCCTCTTGTACTCCTTCTGCCGATCTTGTTCTATGTCATTTGTGCTGATTAACATATTCAAAGGTGCTACCTAAAACAGAAAGAAAGAAAGAACAAAGTGAACAAAGTTTTTTTTTTTTT